TCAATGAGGACTTAGTCATGCAAATAAACGCACTCTTAGAAAGCAACCTATTAAGCTCAGTACAACTACTAGCCTTCCTTATTAGGATTAAATTTTTGCCTGTAGCACAAGTGAATTTGTAAATATTATAATGCACACTCCCAAACAACTACTCAAATTTTAGAGCAAAAGTAACATTCAAAAGAGGTTCATTATTTTAAACGGCTTTTGCCATCAGAACCGGCACACAGGACTGTGGCTGGTTATAAAACCATGTGCAGAATCAAAAGTTAATTAATTTGATAAAAGGTTTGTAAAAGGAATACTTAAAATAAACCCACCTACTTTAAAACACTTTTTTCTACTTCAGTTCTACTATAGGTTTTGCTCTATGGAAGGCAAAGGAAAGACCAATGAATTGTGTTTTGTGCAAGTAGTAGGCCAGGCTTACTGGTGGAACACCTCAATCCATGACAGTGGATGAAGATGGTCCTCTGCCTCTTACTTAAACTCACAGCCTTTCACTTTTCAATCCCACGAGATGAGAAATGTTACATGTCATGTACATCCAACACGACAGTGTTTTCCACCTCGACTTAATTTTATGCTATTCCAGGTACACATAATGCATTCAGAGCTCAAAATACCCCACTGTGTGTAAGTTTTTCCACAGCCCAGCAGCGGAGCCTGGAGATAAACCTTCAGAAACTGGTGAAGTCCACCAGCGCAAGGAGGTTTGTCACTGGCCATGCAGGTGCCCGCCTGTGCCAGCCTGCACCCCTGGGGTAAGCTTGGTGAAGGACGGCTGTGGATGCTGTAAGGTCTGTGCCAAGCAGTCAGGAGAGCCCTGCAATGAAGCAGATGTCTGTGATCCCCACAAAGGTCTCTACTGTGACTACTCAGAAGACGAGCCTAGGTATGAAAAAGGCGTGTGTGCATGTAAGTTGTTCTTTCATGTTTCCTTCTTGAAATGCAAGAGGGTGGGACCATGCAGGTAAATGGTTTTGGAAGAAAATCCTGCTTGCAGGTGCTGCACAAGCTCTATGCTAAGCAATTTATCCTAATTTAGTCCTCTGACTGCTCAGCCAGAGAATCTGAGAGTAGGGCTGGGACTGGCTTTAAACTTACCTGCACATGCATTAGCGAAACCAGTTCACTGTGCACAAGCCTGTTATTGGCAGGCGTTGATGACTGATTTAAAGAGCTGATCACATTTATGGCTGACCACATTTTAGCACTCTATTAAGCAAAACCCACGTGCTCCTCCTGTGTCAGTAACTGTTGTTCACCATTTTCAGATCTGGTAGCTGTAGGATGTGAGCTCAATGGAGTTTATTATCCCAATGGGCAGACCTTCCAGCCTAATCCACTTTATAAGTGCCTGTGCATCAGTGGTGCAATTGGATGTACACCTGTATTCACACCAAGACTAGCAGTGAGTCCTTGCACCAGGGTCACGGGCAGAAAGAAGCCTGGACAATCTATTTGTGGCCTGGGACAGCACAAGCAGCTTCAATCAACCAACTACAGACTGATGTCAGGTGAGCCTGGCTCCACCAGTAAACTTTTCCGTACATGAGCCTTTCTGCATTTAGTGTCCCTGGCTCCAGCAGCCAGGCAGGCGACACACTGGCACTTTCTCAGTTCTTACTGAAGGCCATTGCCAGGGTGACTGTTCTGTCCCACTTATCCCTCTTACTCTCAGGTCACAGACTCTTTTCTCTAAACCTAATGAATGTGAAAAGCAAAAAGGCTTTTGGCTTCTGTCACCAGGGAATTGGGCAAAGCATCATTCTGCAGAGGTTTATTACTCATCAGATCAGCCAGCCCAATTAGAGATGCCGGTGGACAGCCATTTTGCAGCTTGGGAGCTGTCTCACTTTCTCCTGCTTTGTGGGGTACAGAGTCTTTGTTTTCACATACATACATTAACATGCTGCAGGCCTCTTCCAATAGAAAGCAGAAAATTATAAAAATGGCCTTAGTGGCTTTCCTGACAAATTTTGAGTCACTGCAAGGAAAGCACTCCCTCTAATTTCTTCTCTATTCAGATCAATTCTCTGTTCTGATCAAGAACATCCACAAGCTTCTCCATGCAGTTCTGCCAGGGTCAGCTGATATTCCCTTTAACCTCATTCTTGCTCTGCTGCTAACCCTGTAGCTTTCTTTTTCACTTTATGACCATGACAGAAGCAGCTATTCTGGCCCTTCCCTGGCCACAGCTGCCTAAGCTTGTGCCATCTCCTCCCCATGCATGTCCAACTTTTCATGGTGAAAATCATCTTCATTACAACTTATACGAGTACGAGACAGCTGAGCCATTTATTTGGTGGCAGCTTGAATCATCATCATCAATAAATAAAATAAAACCAAAAAGATTGCAAAGCTCACCAGAAAACCTTCATCAAAGACTGCTGAGTAAACAGGTGCACAGAAGTCAATCTGCAGATAAACAGACCCGCTTACAAAATCTGAAGTTCAGCTTGGACAGCTTCTCACACGTGAGCAATGGTTATACAAGTTGGCAAAAATAAAAAAAGAAGCTCATCCTTACTTAAAAAATTATTATACAATACCTATAACTAATATCAAAGCCTTTTAACAGAAATATCCTTAATGTTGTTGTATAAACATGCACTTGGTAAGGCAATGGACTTCAAGTGAAGAATGATCTCTTTTCTAGAGAACAATGTTTATCTGATTCAAGAGAGAACACACTGAAAACAACGGCAACCAAACCATTTGACACACAGTAATTGGGTTTGTGGGGAGATAGATATATTTCAGTTATCTGGAGCACAGTATTAAGCCAACATTCGTTGCAGAATTTGAATCAACTGCGCAGCATAACCTTGAGAGGAGACACCCAGCTTGCACACTCTTCCTGCTGGGCTCAGTTCAGGGACCTAACACCCTGTCCCTGTGGTGGCTGCACGTGTTGGAGGATGCTGTTCTTTGGAACCTTCTGAAGAAATACACCTTGAAATTTTTGTTTCAAAATCTTTCCCCTTTCATTCCACAGACCAGTGGACGTATCAGGTCAACTTGTGCATGAATTCCATGGATGGCTCAATATCTATTTTGAAAAGTCCTTTTACTCTTACTGTGAATAAGTGCTAAGTTTCATTTTACTGCTCGTTTTGTTTTCTAGCTTTTTGTTTCAATTGGATTTACCTAATTCAGACACATAAGGATGTAACTAGGTCATACTTTAAAAAAATATACCAAGTATAAACAACCATTTAACCTCCCTTTATTTGTTGCAGTTCTCTGAAAGGCTTTTAAATTGCTTGCTTCATTGAGATATTTAAATTGCTGTCTACTTTCCAGGTATTCTGGAAAGCTGACAGCAATTCTGGCAATTTCAGGTAATTCTGTGCTCTTACATAAATGTCCAGATTCCACATAGTTTTTCTGCAGAATTCCACTATGAACTTTTCCACTGCAATTTTATTTCTTTTTTTTTAAATATACTACTCTATCTAATCCAGGCCTCATCCATCAGAAAACAGGCTTTTTGGTGATATCTAGAACTGATTGAAGCATTTTATTCCTCAATACAAACTCTAAGGTCTTCACAGTATCTACAAAAAACCAAACATTAATGTTCTCAGCTGCCCTTTATAAGCTATGTTTGGCCTGAAATTAAAAAAAAAAAAAATCTGGACATTCCATAAAAATTCCACAAATAACCCTCTCCACATAACATTTCCATTACATGGAACTGGGGGGTTCCATAACACATGCAATTTAATAGTCCTTACTAGGATCTGAGTATCCAGTGTCAGTAAAGTTTAATGGCAGCTTACCTGGCTTTTGTATAAAAAGTTATTTATGACTCTATGTTATAGACATGTTATTTCTGCGTTCACCTTTAGAAATACCTTCAGGAACAGAAATCAAAGTCTTATCCTTGTATTTCCAATTCATCCTTTTGGGGCTGTTCTGCTGCATAAATAATATACTGCTGTCTTAGCTTACAGAAGCTTACCACTAGTCTTGAAGAAAAAGTGCCTTGTACAGGCAACTCCCTGGACACCCTGCTCCAGGACCTGTGGCATAGGCATATCCAGCAGAGTGACCAACGACAACAGAAAATGTGAGATGAAAAAAGAAAAGAGATTATGCTTCATCCAGCCTTGTCTGACCAATATGCTGAAGAAAATACAGGTATTTTCTGATATAAAATTACCTTCTAATAGAAAATGAAAATATTTGAGCTAGCGGAAAATTATATATACTAGCAACTGCTAATAAAATATTGACTTCTTTCTTTTTTAAGGTTTAAAAATAACTCTTATGTTTTCTCCATTCAGTCTTAAGGTTTCAATAGTAAACTACAGATGTGTAATTTCAAGCAAAAGAATGTAATGTCCTGATATAGATGTGCTGCTAGTGCTGTCCTGATGCACAGTCACTCCGAAAGTATTTTCTACTTGTCGACTGATAAAGGAAAAATAAGGCAGTTTCAGATTAACTTTTAAGATATTTTTAAGTAAATGTCACAACTTCTTCTTACATGGTCTGTTTTTAATGTGTAGAAAACTCAGGCTTTTCTTTGTTCTAATATTAAAGATTCCAAAAGGAAAAACATGTCAACCGACATTCCAGCTTCCAAGAGCAGAGAAGCTAATTTTTTCTGGATGCTCAACTACTCAAAGCTACAGACTAACTTTCTGTGGGGTGTGCTTGGACAAGAGGTGCTGCATACCTAATAAGTCCAAAATGATCACTGTACAGTTTGAGTGTCCCAATGAAGGCTTCTTCAAGTGGAAGATGATGTGGATAACATCGTGCGTATGTCAGAGGATTTGCAGTGCTCCAGGAGATATATTTTCCGAACTCAAAGTCCTATGACAAGTTACACCACTGACTGTAACACACCGAGAATGCAAAAGCACATTCACACCCTGAAGAGTTAGCATAACCCTCTGCCACAGCAGTGTTTATACTGTGGCAGTATAAACAGTATAAGCAGTGAAATAACAAGTGAATACTCACTAATTTTTTAAATGTCATTGGAAAACACAAGTAAGAGTGCATCTCTTTAATGTAACTGTTTTTATATGGGGAAATATGTTCTTGAGAAGGATGCATGTAACACTAGTTCTGCCCAAACAAGAATTTTTGGTAATTAAGAAAGGCACAGCAAAACAGCTTCACGTCTCACTGTAACAAGGTGTTGCCCACAAAAAAAAAACTCCACATGCTCTAACCTATTAGAAAAAATATTTCCCTGTAATACTTCATCTGTCATTCCTGATTCTTAAATTAACCTTTTCTACTATGTATCTACAACAGTAAAACGCATCAATGCTGTTTGAAAATGAAGAATTCAATTTTAAACTCCAACTGCTTTTTGCAGCAGGTAGTGTTTCTCTAGTGTTGTGAATGTAAACAATGTACATGTAAAGGAATAAAAAAGTGGGCAGGCAACTGCAGATAATAGATGCAACATTTCAAGGTAACTACTATTTTTAGAACATTTTCTTAAAAATTGTTCTCAACAAATGCTAGCACAATGCTTTATTGAATGCTTCCGGACATATACATTGAAAATTGTGCTTACTTATACACCCACTCCAACTCTGCTAGAAGGACTTCAAGCTTCAAGGAATCATTGTATTGATCCATTCTGATCTGTAACAGTTCACTAGTCTTGCTGTTTTAAGACAGCCAATGCTGGTAAGCAACTGGAAATAGCTGTATATTCTATTTTGTAAAAGTTCTTATTGTAATATAAAAAGCTGCTTACTCTGATAATTATAAATATTAAAACATCTATTTTACTTGCATTCTTTCAAGCCTATAAACTCTGTTCTCGAAACAGTTGTTATAATTCTTTATATATATATATAACGTCATTATAAGTGCATGTTTTGCTCAGAGGTATACTGTATTATCTCATTATCAAGTGCAACTCAGCATTCATGAATATGAATCATTAAAATAATATGTTAATTAATACTCCAAGTATAATACTTAAAATTTATCTTGTGGAATTTTCTGATATTGCCAATTTTGGTATCAACTCAGAATGCTCTAATATAGCTGAGTACAACAGAAAAGCAAAAATATTAAAATGAGGAACATAGCTTAGAGCATTTTGAAATGTCCACTGTAAAGCTAAAGAAAGCAGTTTCATTAGAGACTTGCTTTCATCTTTGAAAAGATTACATAAGCTTTTCTTCTCTTCGTAGCTGCTTATTAAAAACCAAATCTAGCAATGGTGATCTTTCTTTGAAACAAAGCCTACCTTTAGTTTACTGTAAAGTCTGAGAAAAGAATTACATTTTTGGCTGCTAAAATCTCTCTTCCTTGTCTTCACAGCATATGGTGTGTCAATTTACTCCATAGCTAGGATTACTGCTCTTACTGATATCAGCTATAATTAAGTGCTGTCAAATCTTTCTTACAGGCAGGGCTTATCACTTAATATGACAACTCTTGAGCTGAGGAAGCCGTTGTCCCAGTCCCACTTTGGAATTACCACAGCCGGGCATGCTGCAAGTCATTCTGGTTAACTGACGTGGCTGGATGCTTAGGGAAGTGTTTCGTTCTTTTTAAACAAAAAAAAAATAAAAAGCAGTTCTTCCTTCTTTAGACAGCTATCTTCAGTCTTGATGGATCTGTTCTAGGCCCACCTTTTGTAGCATCCAGTTCATTGTACTCTTCTATTAGGTCAGACAAAGAAGACACAGCTTCAGAAAAACAGCTTTGCTCCATCCCGTCTATTTGCAGATAATGGTGAAGGTGAGCCTACAGGAATAAAAAAAAAAACCTAATTCAGTGTTATCATTTTTCTTGGCCCCTAATTGCTTTGGCTCAGTAAGCACCATTTAGCCTGCACTGAAGGGGGAAGTGCAAGCACTGTAGAAAGGAGACTTATATATCATGACACCCCTTATTTAAATACTTCACAACTTTAGTTACAATCCCCTATGGAATCACAATCAATATTACTGATTCCTTAAACATCCATGTTTTCATACTGGTCAGGTGTACCCTAGGGGACCAACCATGTTACTGGGTTTATGTGGCAAAGTTTTGGCAGCAGGGGCAGTGCAGGGCTGCAGGGGTGGCTTTTGTGAGAAGATAACAGGAGTTGCCCGCATGTTCCAGCTGGCTCCAGCAGGGATCTGCCACTGGCTAAAGCTGAGCCCATTAGTGATGCTGGCAATGCCTCTGTGACGTATTTAAGGAGGGGTAAAAAGGATGCACAACAGCTGATGATTTAGGACAATGTGAGAGAAACAGCCCTGTAGACAAAATCAGCAAAGAAGGACCAGGAGTGAAATTCCGAGACTGGGAAGAAGGGGGTGGAGTGGGGATGAAGGTGTTTTCAGTTTTGGTTTTATTTTCTGCTGTCCTACTCTGTTATTCATTAGCAGTAAATTAAAATAATATTCTCTGTTTTGCCCATGACAGTAACTGGTGAGTGATCTCCCTGTCCTTATCTTGACCTAAAAGCTTTTCATTGTATATTCCTCCTGTCCTGCTGAGGAAGGGAAGTGAGAGAAAAGCTTGGTGGGAACCAAGAGTTAAATTAGATATAAGGAAGAAATTCTTTAGAGTGTGGTGGGGCACTGAAATAGGTTGCACAGAAAAGCTGTGGATGCTCCATCCCTGGAAGTGTTCCTGGCCAGGCTGGATGGGGCTTTGAGATACTTGGTCTAGTGCCCCCTCACTGCAGGGGGATTGGAACAAGACGCTCTATAAGGTTCCTTCTAACCCAAACCATTCTATGATTCTGTGATATTGTCAGGTTGGTACAGATTAATAAGGGATTTATGCTTTTTAAAAGCATAAACATAAATAGGCAACATAAATAAAAATCTTGGGCTGTTAATTTTAAGCAGCTGTGATACTAAGATTTGCTTCCCAATAACACAAAATGCCAATGATTTGTGACTACGGATATTACAATGTTAGGAGTTGCACCTTTTTCTTGTAGAGCTTCATAAATCTCTCTTTGAGTTCAATGAAAGTTGGTTTTACACAGGTGTTGTTTGCTAAAGCCAGAAGAGAATGGGAATGGCCCACCGGAGGTACTGAACACAAACCAGTTTTCCAGCCCTCTTGATTCCAGGAGACAAAGTGCAGAGAAGGTTTTAACCTGTGATACAAAAATTTAGTTATCTAAGGAATATGAAGAACATGAAGGCTAAGTTTTCTTTCTTAACTAACAGTCTGAAAAGGTTAACATTTAAACTTTCAGAACAAAGCAGGACAGTTATAACTATCATTGTGAATAAGACATTTTAGACTTCAGACTAAATCACTGTGTCTATTTGAAAGTTAAACTGCAAACACCAATATTGTTTTGTTAATTTAATGTATCAGGATTTGAAAAATGAAGTTACAAGTACCTATTTCTATAAAAGACACTGCAAGCCCTCTGAAATTTAGGAAAGGAGCAGATTAATACTGTGTAAGGACAATCAGTTGACCTGTAGTTTTGAAATAAGTTAAATGCTTTAGATTCTCAGAAATTTTCCTCATGCTTTCCTGTCTGCCTATAAACTCCCTTCTGTATGTGAAGCTTGCCTACCTTTCCTATTATATCTATGTATCTCAAAAGTGTAAAAGGTAGAAAGAGGGTGCTAACAATGGAGTTGTTAAAACTAGGATGATTTCCTATCTACAGGAAAGTAACCATGAAAGGGAGGGATGTTCTGCTCAGAGAAAACAAACTTCTACAACAGAACTTACTCCCCCAACATCCTTTACTATCAGGAGACCCCTGGAAGGTTGAGCTTTGCTTTCTCTTGCATTTTTGAAGAAAAGGGAGGAGCAGTACTGAGATATTTAGTCAGCTCCCTTTATCTGGAAATCCAGGAATGCTGTGACTTATTCTCACTCATTGCGTAAGTTAATTACATTTTCTTTCCTTCTAAAATACAAAAAAATATTTCTGAGTAAACTAATTTGGTATTGAAACTCTTCAAACGAAAAGTTGGAGTGCTCTGAATGACTGACAACAGTTTCCCATGACTACTTTGTGTGGTATTACAAACCTTTCAATATTTCGGCGAAGGTCTGAAACCTGCACATTTCCTCGAACAAGAAGTGCACAGGCAAGGTAGAGGCTATGCTTTGGATCTGCTTGAATTAGTTGATGATCTCTACTAAATGCGTCTGAAAACATCTGATCCAACCTAGGTGAAAAGAAAACAGTTATCTACTCTTACCAAAGTAGGATACAAAAGCTTTTCAGAACACCCATCTTCAGAGTTTGAAAGTTCATAAAATTGTGGAGATAAAGATACATCTAACCTGGGAACATAAATTATAGAAAAAGATTCAAACTTATAGATATATTGGCATTACAAGTTTTTAAAAACACACTAGATCCATTTTTTACTCTTCTCCCTCATGCTACAGGCCACTGATGAGTCACAGAAGTTGCCTTTACAACGGCAATTTGAGGTCAGTAGTTACAAGGTCTTATGACAATTTGAGTGGACAATCTCACTGTGAAGGATCTGACAAGGAATTTCAAAGTGCTGCTGACCCTTACAGAACTGGATATCTGCCTGTTACACTTCATTATTTAAAAGGATCAATGAATCACAGAACAGTGATGATTTCAATTAATGATTTAGGAAAAGACAGACTATACATACTTGTCTACTTATTCTTATTTTATTATGCATGACTGCTGATCATATTCTTTCTCTCTTCACTTCCTTAAGCAAGTTTCACTGTAGTGTGGGATTTCAAAGATGGTGTCCTGACGTTTCTGCAGACCCACAACATCTAAGCTATTCTTTCCATTTGCCTCAAACTCTCTGCATTCATCACCTCTGTTTCTTTTTTCTTATATCACCTTGCCACAATCTATTACAAAAAAAACCCCCAACAACTAAATAAAGAAAACAAAAATATTACTGCTCCCACTTCATTCTGAGACGTCTTTGACTGAGCATCTCCCCATAGTATGCTTCCTTCCCCCAGCACTGCACTGTTTGAAAACAAGGCATGTTTTCAAAAGATACGGCTGATTGCACCACTTGCTATCACAGAACAGCCTTCTTCTCCGCTTTAGTTGCTTCTGTCATCATTTGGACCTCTTGCTGACTGAACTTAATTCACTAAACCCAGTAAAATCTATTTTAACTGGTTATTTTTCTGCTGTGTCAGAGGGAAAAATATCTCAAAGAACTTTACAAGTTTCGGGTTATCATTACAATAAGTTGATAAATAGGCTCACTGCACTTCCAGACTCAAGTAAGATGGCATTACTTCCCAAAGAGTCTAGTTTAATTTCTTGTTTGACTGACAAAATACTGTAAAGACAAGTGCAAACAGTTACTCAAAAGAACTTGTGGCATGGGTTCTATCTGAGTAATACATTTTTCCAACAAAAACATTTCCCAGCAGAGAATAAAAAGATGTCAAATTTACTGGCTCAACCATTACAGAGAAAAGAGACAACAGATGTTCCAAAAATCAGCAGGATGAATTTTAAAACGTGGCAGACTTAAAAGTTTTAGAACTTTCACCCTTAGTTTTGCTACAGAATGTAATTTTTTAATGAGAACTATGGAAGAGTCAGATATTAGGCTTTAAATGTGAAACTCCTATAATATTTTTTTCCTACCTTCTAGAAGGTACATTAACATCTGCCAACGTATACAGAGGAGTCAAGCTTGAAACCAAATAATGAAGTCGAGGAAATGGAACCAAATTCATACTGATTTCATTAAGATCCATGTTTAGGGAACCTTCAAATCTAGCAGAGCTGAAAATTAACAAACCATTATAAAATTACTATAAACTAAGGAAATCACTTCTATAATGTAAACTTCCATTAATCTATTTTTCAACTGTTCTGTACAATAAAACAGTAAAACAACACAGCATTCAAGAAACGGTTCATGTATTATTACAAAACTTTCACATCTGGCAGAATCAGTACTCAATCCTATTCACTTATACTTCTTATTAAAGAACAATAAATCATCAAGAATAAGACCTTGTTTCCCAGTTGTAGTCTTTAGCACTGTTTTTCAGAATGTAGACATATTTGATTAATACCAGTTAATTAATACCAGTTTTACTAAACAAGCTATAATAAAACATGTGTGATTTTGCATTCCTGACAATCTGTTTAAAAGAAAAACAGGTCAATACTCCAGAAGTATATTTCTTGCAGCAATAGACAGTTTAGGAGCAAAAATGATCTGACAGTATTTATAAAATAAATACAACTGGCCTAGAAAGGCAAACCTTCCTGGGCTCCACTAAGCACTAACGGAAAACACTATCCTTCTGCCTACAAATTTATTTCAGTTTTAAGACTGTCAAGGCTAAAGCAACACCACTACAATCTGAATACTTCCAAATACTTCAGCATTTAGTAAACAACTCTTAAAGAAGACTCGTATCAAATGAAAAACAATTTATATTATTCAAGTTGATCCAGGCCTGCATATTTGCAGCAAACACCACCTCCAGCGATACTACTTTGTTACAGAGGAATGACCTGTAACTTTACCTTGTCAGGTTCAGCAGCAAGTTGGCTACGATATTATTCATTGCATCAAATGGCTTCTCCTGGAGAGTTTTTACACTGCCTGCACTTGATGTTACCAAGCTGTTTTGCTTCACGGTTGACCCCAGCTTCCCAGAATTGATCATCTGATTAATTTTATTAACTATATCAAACAGAGACTTTTGAGAGAGAAAAATAAAAGCAAAGTAGTCTTGAGCACAGAACTTTCGAATTCAGTACCCCAGTTTTTCACTTCCATTAATCTTAAAAGCTAACACACGGTACTGTTAGCTCAAAGATTATACCTTTGATACATCTAAGTCCAACTTTTGAGCAATGCCAGTTGACTGAAGTGTTTCTAAAAGTCTGTTCCTTACATGTCACAAATACAGCTTGACTCAGAAGTTTGAATTTTATTCAACTACTTAAAATCCTTATCTTCTAAAAATGAATTTTAAATTTTCATAACACCTGTGAAAGGAAAAATATATTCTCTATCTATCACTTTTCTTGCTTTTTTTCATAAACCAACACCAAGACAGTCACCAGAGCTAGATTCAAATGGTTCTAGTACTTTGCAAGGTCAAGTATACCTATGATTCTCCTAATACTAATAAGCACAGTTAAGTGTGTTGGAATCTGGTGTGGTTAGTCATTTCTCTTGCAGGACTCTATTAATACTATGCACAAAATGATTGCTAAAAGAACAGAAGACACTCTGTCTCAGTAAATAGAAGCTTTTCAATGTTTACCTTGAAAAAGACACAAAAAAATTCACTCTAGACTACTTCGAAGGTGCAGAGTAACTTTTTAGTGATACTCATGTTCATTTCAAAAGCCTATAAGTGACTTAGAAGTTCAATTATTATTTGAAAAAATGAAATTATGCTTTAAAAACTTGGTACTCAAATCAATACAGAAAAGCGAGAAAGACTTCTTTTTTGCAGTCTAATAAAAAAAATTGCCAGAAATATAATATTAATTCTTACTTCATTCTCTACTGGTAACACACAGTCTGCATGTTCATTAAGCTCCTTCATAGCCAGAACACTGTTATATGGAGAAGTAATAACATCATCTTCACCAGAGGGATAAACTGAAGTAACAAATCTATATACTTCTGGGAATTCGTCCTCAAGCAACTTTAGTACAAAAGTTCCAAGACCAGATCCTGTCCCTAATTATGAATGAAAACAGAATGAAAGAAGATAAAAGGTTCCCCATGTTATCTTAGGTCCCAAGACTCATATGTTGGAGACATACAACTTTTCAATTATATATTTTAATGAATATTTTCTGAAATATTTGGCTGACAGTGGAGGCTACTCAAATGTAACTTAAGGTAGAAAGGTTTTTTCCCAGACAGGAAAATAATTAAGTAAAAAAAGTATTTTCCAAGGTATACCAGTCAGGATGAGGTATACAATTTCAAAAATTTCTGCAATCCTAAAAGTCCTATAACATAACAAACATTTTCTGACCTAGTATTTCTACTTCTTATTTTAAAATTTTTATTTGTATTTTGAAACAAGACATTTGCTTAAAAGCACTGAACCGCCCCAAACAATTACTTTCATTCCTTTTAGGGTTTGTCATTCTCCAGTCAAAACAGGGCCAATTTCTCCCAGCACACAAGCTTTTTCCCTCATTATCGCTAAGAACACAGCACTGAGCTCCAATCAGAAATCTGAAGTGTGATCTTTTTCTGAATTTACAGCTACATTCTCAGTGGCAGACAATTTATTCTTATGAACAAGACAGCAACTTTCTGCAATAACAGAAATAATATCTGCAGGGTCTCTGAAATTAAGCAAACGGCCACAAAAAAGGCTCTCGACAGAACCCTTGCTTCATATTTAGAGCTATTTTCTGTGTCTTTTTCCACATTATTACCAGTTATAATACATGCTGCTCCCAGGTTTCTGGGGTAGGAAGGCTTAGAGGAAAAGCATTCTCCCTTTTGGCTTATTAACAAAGTAACTAGATTGGATTCAAGAGAATTGTGTGGAAGGAAAACAGAAAAACAAAGTTTTTCTAGAGTAACATTTGAAGTCTCCTTCAAGTGTTTCACAAAATTCTTTCCCCATGATTAAAAGCAACTTGATTACAGCAATGATATCAGTGTTCAGAGGCCACTGACTCTTCTTCTGAGCAGTAATTCTGCCGAGTTTATTTGTCTTTGGTACCTGTCTTGATCCATCCACTGAGTCGTATTTAAAATTTTAGCTGCATTTTTGCTCTGGGTAACACATTAGGGCTCCTTAGTGCTCTAACAAAACAAGTACTAAATAATTACAGCTCCACTTAATTTGTCTGTGGGGTTTTTTTTATTATGCATTCTGAACAATGTGAATTATTATATTTATGTTCTTTTCAAGATCCATGTTTTTCTTTTTCATCTGTGGCTACTGCAATCATACTCACTACAAAGACACTACTTACCGCCTCCCATGGAATGAATTATAAAGAAACACTGCAGACAGTCACAGTGTTCTGCGGTTTTCCTCAGCTTTTCCACAATGTTTTCCCGGTACTGATAGCCATACAGCTTATGACCTACAGCCCTGAGGACATAAAAAGTACTTTAAAAAAAAACATTCCAACAACCGATCTTTCAATTTTTTATTTTATCTCCTTCTATTTGGCAGTATAGAGTTCAGAGTCCAACACCTCATCTGTGAGAGTTTCCAACCTGTGTCTACATAATGAGAATATGGGAATTAGGACATGGTTTTACTTTTGAGGATGAAAGCAGCACTAAGTTCACATTTGGAGCGTGCACTATTATTTTTTACCGATCAAGAAATAAACACCCATATTGGATGATCTAGTTGTAATAATGAAATGAAAATTACATACTCCTTAACAATAAGGAACCCCTATGCAAAATGTGTCCTGATCTTCCTTTGAGTACTATGCAAGTCAAATGATACCAGTAATTAAAAAGAACCCCAAACAGCTCGTTTTCCATACACTTGCCTGCTAGATGGTGAAGTTACAGGATGTTTTATCCTTGTATTGCCCTCTCTTTTGGCACATTTGCTGATGATTTGCTTTCCAGTCTGTAATGCACTGAATATTACTAGAGGCGCATTAGGGTCTCCATGAAAATTTGCAATTCGTTATGTTAATCAATCTTTTTCTGAATTTCTCTTTTTGGGAATGTAGTTTAGACACACAAAGCCAGACTCTGTGGTGCTTAGAAATCAGAAATGCATTTGTTCATATATCTCATTTTCCACAGTAGTTGCACAGTCTCAAACTAGATTATGGCTTTGACTGAGCAATGGAAGCAGCTGAATACCAAAGAAACAAAAATAAAAAGCATGTTCTTTTGAAACGAAAATCAAAAAAGAGGGAGAAAAAAAATAGTCAAAATGGTGTATCAGCAGAATTATCCTTCTGTAAAAGCCTTTTCAAAGCCCTCCTCCAGGCAACAGTGACTCCAAGTTTGCTGGTAAAATGCTGCAGCTCCCCAGGTGCAGAACGAAACAGAAAGCTACGGTTATCATTTCCCTTTTCAAATGCCATCTAATTAGTTGCTAAGAAATGTGTTCTGAAGAGGTTCTCACCAGTTGTTTCCTGAACCAGAAACATCTGTGATAAGCTGCTTGCTATCAAACACATCCCTCAATGGTCCCTGCAGAATTTCATTTACCACTCCCTCCTCCATGTCAATCAACAGTGCCTTTGAGAAGAGAAAGAATTAAAATTCAGTCAGTAAGGAAACTACCCTTGAAATAACCACACAAAGAAATACAAAATTATTTACAATATAAAAGGTATACTACAATACAAAAGGTATACTGTTTCTACTCTGCTCCAAAGAAACCTTTTTTTTCCACAGTTGTTAACTAGGAGACCAACTAGATTAACCTTAGACGATTTGCCAGAAGTTGGTCAACAGGACAACATTTCAGATAATTAAATTTAGTTTAAATTTTATATTTTGCCCCAACAGTTAGAAATGAAGACGTTACAATATTTTGTTTCAAGTTTTCTTGCTTCTTAATAATTTCAAGTGGCTTAAGGAAACCCACTTCTTCTAGAATTCATAAAAATACTGAGTTACTAATATCTGCAATCATTTTATTAGAATTACAATTTAAATTACTCAACAAGACAGGCAGCAAACTGTATTACTTGAATGAACCATAAAAGTTACTATTAGAAATTCTACTATTCAAAGCAGTATTTAAACCTGTATGCAATTTTAAGGACTTTATGAAAATTCCCACACAGCTGAAAACATGCCACGTAAAAAGAATGACCTTTAATAGATTGCCTTACTCGTGCTTTTAAAGAGCAGATTTTTCCTTTGTAAATACCTGGACCATCACCACCACTTCTGAAAAAAAAAAAAAAAACAAAACAACTAACAGTAACAGAAAGATCTAAGCTCAGATTCATAATAGAAAATACATACTATAATAAAATTTTCTCTTTAGTGCTTTGTGTTCAGAAGAGTATGGCAACAAACAAACACCCTGAACATACTGCTAAGACCTCACAATTCCCGGAAGTAATGCAATTACAGGACACGATCTCAGTCAGAAACAGCCTAAGCATTACTTCACTAAGCTGAAAAGAGAAGCACTGAATGTTTACTCTCAGGTACAGCCTCTCCAGAAATTCTACAGTTTGCCAAAACTTGAAAGGATTATCTTATATCAGCATGTGATATGTGTATCCGCATCACATAATTGAACACAGCGCACCAAGTAGCCCCACAAGCTCTTTAGTGGGGGTTGTTACGACACTGTACTTCTGCTCAGGTGTGAAACCTGCGTTCCTGCACTAGCACAGCGCTTAACTTGACTTGCTTTGCTATGAAGATTTGCCAGTTCAGAAATAATGTTGGATGGGCATAGCTACTTCTTTTCCAGGATTGGTTGTACTGAGCCAAGGCAGGAGACTATGCATTGTGTTACAATCATATTTTTTCAACAACAAATGCTGGCGCTTCTGCACTCAAAGGATGAGATGCTCCAGTCTGGCCAAACTATATTGAACACAGGGGAAAAAAGGCAGGGATAGTGGGAGATGGATCTAATTTTCCCTTCAGTTATTTACCTTATTTGGGAGCTGGCCAAGCCTAAAGTACGTCTTAGACTATTCTACATTCTACCACAAAAACATTCCCAAAACATGAGCTAAAATTTGCAACAGTCCCATCAGAAATGAGGGGAAGAGAATATGGGGCTGCACTGGATTCCTCCAAGATTTTCTACCTGCTCTCTGGACGCTTCTCATTAGCTGAACAGCTCACAGCAGTACTCATGTGATTCCTCTAGGCTATGCAACACATATATGAGTCCACTATAGCAGCACTAAATACACCTAGAGAAGTTCAGTTTCTCTTCAGGGAATAACAAAACTCAAAGAGGAAAAAAACCCAACCCCAAAACAACACTTCTTTTTCTTCCTATTGTCTTTGTGCGACAGACCATTCCTTCAATCACTTGGATTCAATTGCTGAAAAAAAGTCTCCACGTTCCTAGAATCCCAGAATGGTTTTGGTTAGAAAGGACTTTAAAGACCATCTTCTTTCCAACCCCTCTGCCATGGGCAGGGACACTTTCCACTGGATGAGGTTGCTCAGAAAGAAAACAGATGTTTCTATTGCAGTCAAGCTGCCAGTTAAAAATTTGGTGGTTTCACCAGGCTTGTACAGAAACATAGGTATTTTTTTACAATCAAATTTTCTTGGTTTAAAAAAAAAAAAGTTACTCCAGGAAATACCCACAAGGAATGGTAATCCTAAACTCCAATGCATTTGCATTATTCTTTCAGAGAGCTAAAAGTTGAGACAAAACTATTTGTATTTCAATGCCATTTTAATTAAAATCACATGCTGTACTGTAACCTTGTCATATGATGGAAGAAAAACAGGTTGGTCAAATCCTTTTTAATTATTTTAAAGACGACAGCAATATCCAGGTGCACATTTTATTCTTGCAAGGATTTTTCTAACTGGACAGATTAGAAATGACTGAATGCTCTTAGGATATGAATTGGTTAACCCAAACTTTCAACATCTTTAACAACTGATGTAAGTATACTTAAAACGGAAATGTAAAGATATGTTTTGAGAAGATAATAAAAAAGCAAAATATTTTCCTAGCACAAACTAAATATGACTTGAAACAAAGAAAATTATAACTTAGGTTAAGAGAAGATACTTGAAGTGTGGGTCCACTGTGTTAAACTCATGAGCTTCTTGATAAGACAACTTACCTTGTATCTACGTTCCTAAAGAAACTGCTTAATGCTTCATCATAAATTCCTTTCTAAAAGGAAACAACACAAAATGATACGTAACATCAAAAATTTTTCATAGAATAATTTAAGTTGGAAGGGACCTCTGAAGGTCACTTGTCAAACCTCACTGCTCAAACCAGAGTAAACATCTATGTTGAATCCAGCTAGCTCTAGTCAGCTCTAAAAAGAACATTTCACTGAAAAATCAGCTTGTTATTAAAAACTGACAGGAGGACGTAACTAGAAAGTTAATTTTTCAGCACAAGATTAGACAACTGTAGTAGATTACTGAAGATCCCCAGGCAATTATTAAATCTAATAGCTGCTGTTTAGCTGACTCAGTTCATCACTGACACAACACTCAGTACATTGTGGGCTCAATGCCCACGAAGTTCTTTGAAAAGGAAAGCACATCACACTGCATCAGTGATTCCAGAACTCCCTGCTGAGAGCACGCAAATTACTTACCCCGCCATAAAACTAAAGAGACCTAGCAAGTTTAAATACTTTCACATTATTATTTACAGATTGCTACCGTACTCAAGACCTGGTGACGGAGAATTTGGAAGACACTGTTTTGTACTACACTACAACCAAAACACTCTCTGCACTCAACATGAACTTCATCCATTGCCTTTTTACAGTTGCTTCTAAAGAAGGCATTGAAGACTCCTCATCCTTATCTGTTAATGTATTGTGTTAACCAGGAAACAGTATCTTTATAGTCAAAGCAAGGAAAATGTGACTTTGTTCAGAGTAGTCAGCACAACCCTATGCCCTCTTCAGTGCAATTTTCTTTAGCACAGCTGTATGGCAAGTATGCGGCATGAGCTAAAATGGAGAACAGTGGAATTTGGGGGGCTGCCCTTCTGCTTTACTGCCAGTGGCAAAGAACCCACACGAAACAGATTTCTCTTGCCACTAAGTGCCTCAAACCTGGTAATGTCTGGCTTTAGGGAGACATCCTGGGCTTTTCAAGGTGGGAAGGCTGGAGAAAGCTGACTGGAAGGGATCATAGAATCACAGAACATTCTGAGCTGGAAGAGACCTACAAGGATCATCAAGTCCAACTCAGCTCTACACATGACTCCCCAAGAGTCTCACCATGTGCCTGACAGTATCATCCAAATGCTTCTTGAATTCTGTCGGGCTTGATGCTATGACCACTTCTCTGGGGAGCCTGTTCCAGTTCCCAACCACTCTCTGGGTATAACAGCCAATCTAAACCTTTCCTGACACAACTTCATGACATTCCCATGGGTCCTTTTGCTGGTCACCAGAGAGATCAGTGCTTGCCTTGCCATTTTGCCTCACGAGGAAGTTGTAGACTGCAATGAGGTCTCCTCTCAGTCTCCTCTTCTCCAGGCTGAACAGACCTAATGACCTCAGCCAGTCCTTATTTGGCTTTTGCTGCAGACCCTTCACCATTTCGTGGCTCTCCTTTGGACACTCTCTAACAGCCTAATGTCTTTTTAATGTTGTGGTACCCAAAACTGCACACAATATTCAAGGTGAGGCTGCACCAGTGCAGAACAGAGCGGGACAATCCCCTCCCTTGACGAGCTGCCGATGCTTTGCCTGACGCCCCCCAGGACATGGTTGGCCCTCCTGGCTGCCAGGGCACTGCTGACTCATATCCAACTTGCCATCCACCAGGACCCCCAGGTCCCTTTCCGTGGCATTGCTTTCCAGCCTGTCATTCCTCAGTCTGTGCGTACATCTGAGCTCGTCCCATCCCACGTGCGGAATCCAGCACTTTCCCTTGTTGAATTTCATACAGCTGGTGATTGTCCAGCCCTCTGACTTATCAAGGATAGCTAAAACTCATGACTAGTTAAACGGCACAAGAACCTGGGGGGTAGTTTTGCTCACAGTGAAGCGGCCTTAGTTTAATCAAACAAACACAGAGCTTTGCCGTCACGGCGACGAAGGCGGGAGGGAGCGCAGGGGCACCGCCGCCTCCCCACGGCGAGGGCGCTCGCCCCGGGCCAGCGGCGGCAGCGGCGCCCGTACCTTGTTGACGGCGGCGTGTTCCCGCAGCGCCAGGTCCCAGAACCGGCAGCCCACCTGGTTCCCGCACTGCCCCACTGCAAAGGGGAGAGACACGGCTCAGGAACGGGGAGGGTGTAGCGGCGGCGGGGTGGGGTGGGGGTGTTGCTCTGGGCACCGCGACTCCTTACCCTGCACCACCACCGACTGGGTCATGGCGCGGCCGGCGGCGCTCTGCCGTTTCGAAGTGGGCGCCCGGAAGCCGCGCCCCCTGAGTTCCTGCGGTGGAACGGCCCACCCGTTGCCTTGGCTGCGGGCGCCCGCCCCGACTGGAACGTCCCATTAGGGAGCGCCGGGGGTGGGGGTGGGGGGTGTGTGAGGGGATAGGGGAAGTGGAAATGGTGTCGTGAGGGTGAACCTGTGGGGGGGCTGCAGAGTCTCAGACGCAGGAGACTCAGCAAAGACCTAAAATGAAGCCTTTGTGTGGGAAAACAAGTAATCTACTCACAGAATATCCCGAGTTGGAGATATTTCCGTACAGTACAGTTCATTACCTTCTATGGCTAAAAATGGTGTGATAAGAAGCGTTTTATTTCCCCCAAATTCATAATTCGGGACTATGGTGTGAAGTGTGCCTAACGATATGAAAATACAAATTAAAAATGAAGTAAAAAAGTGGTCATTAGGAAATGCTGTAATGTACCTTCCCATCAGGCTCGCACGTTACGGTTTTTTTTAAGCTCAGTTTCGTATTTCTTGTGCTTATAATTTTCCACAGTGCAATTGGGAGGTGCTTTTGCCTATGTGTTGAACTTCAGGAGTAAAAAAGGAAAGAATGAAAAATGTGGAGTTGCTATTGTCTCAGCATGGCAAGACCGGACCACGACATAGCTCAGCTGCAAAATCATAGAACCAGTTAGGTTGGAAAAGACCTTTAAGATTGTGAAGTCCAACTGTTAATCCATCACTGCCAAATCCACCACTGAACCAGGAAAGAATGTGTGATATGCAAAGCAGTTGCTTGCAGAAAGCTGTCTTGTGACACAGATGGCATTTCTGCTTCCTGTGGGAGAACAAAAGCACTTCCATGAAACCCAGTTCATTAGGTTTTATGGCTAAAACTGTCCAACAGAATAGTATTTTTCCAAATACATTATTTCTAGTGCTGGTGTGCAAACAAAATTTGCTAAATGAAATTCTTAATCCTTTATTTGCTCCTGGACGTGATTTATGATCCTGTAGAGATTAATTATAGGTCCACAGGAAAATAAAGTTAGAGCAAATAAAATATTGTACAATACAATCTAATAATATATTGCATACAAGAAATAGATATACAGACTAATTTTTAAAAACATAATTGAAAGAGAAGAATCCATCTATTAGAAATTAGTATTATTCTTAAGAAAAAGTACTGAGTGGCCCAAGGTTACTCAAGTGTCATGAATAAAGTTCTAAAGAACAAATAGCTTTAGTGTTATAGGCATGTTTAGCATGAAAAGGGTAATACTGTCTCAAACACTTCTTTATAAACTAGTAACCATTGTAAAACTACATGAATATTAAGCACAAAAGCAGGTGGTAATTTCTCTCTGGACAGTCTAGATGTAACCTATAGCTTAATTTTGTTCCCTGTGGTTATCTGAACTGGTCCAAACTTATAAGGTATATTCAATGGCAGACTGTTTCTATACTTCTTGCCTACTGTCATGTCCTTAAAGTCTTCCCTTCATATGCCTTTTTGGTCTTACTTTGGCTAAAAGCAGTAAGTACAACATTGCTTATGAGCATTCTGAAGTTTAATTTAAAGTCCGCAGAATCTCTTAAGATTAATGTATCTGGCTTGCTTTCTTCATGTGTAATTAGCTACACTTTCTACTTGTTCTTTCAGGTAGTTGTAGCTTTTGTGTTCCATGTCCCATCAAGATTCAGCTTAATGGGATTCACTCTATTGAACATGAGATTGCAGCAAGACACTCTGGGCTTTGACTTCCAGTATGCTATTAGGAAGTCTGTGCTGGCAAATATTAAGTGATTATTCTCACTGAGCTTAGAAACGCTGTGAATCAGAGATGCAATTGAGATTCATATTCATATGGGAATATTTTTTAGCTTCCAAAGGAGGTCCAAGGGCAGGAAGTTGATGCATGACAGCCAGGTTGGCTTGATGCATATGCTCAGAGGTTTAATGAAATAGTCAGCTCAACTATGCAAAGGAAATCATCACATGCTGACTTTCTGTTTTGTTGTTGATGAAGCCCTACTGCATCTACCATGTTATAAATGCATGAATCTATACAGGTCCCCTCAGAGACTGTCTATATTAGTTATTTAATCGACAGACTTATGTTAATGTGGGTTTCTTACTCTTAATTTCTCAGTAAATTTTTGTTGAAGGTGTTATGTGGGAATGGTGTTCCACAGCTTTGGAACAAAAATTGAATAATTCTATGAATAACCTACTATGTTATTGAGAGCAAATGAGTGAATCGGCCAATAACCCTTAAATCCCAACTGTAACAACAGCCAAAAATACATAAGAAGTTAAATATATGTGCTATGCTTTCAGCATCTTTTTAATAACAGTCATTTGACTATTTAGGCCACATGCTGCTGTAGGGAGAATACACTGGAATTCGAACTAATGCTATCCTTTGATTTATAGCAGGTCTTAGTTCACATATGAAGGTTTGTTGGTTTGTAGTTTTGTTTTCCTGTTTATGTGGGTTTTTTTCTTTCTTTTTTTCTTTTTTTTTTTTTTTTTTTAACTTAGAATGGCTGGCTTTTGGGGAATTACTGTCAGGCTTGTAATGCTCCATCTTTAATTTTCCTGTCTAGGCTGTTGTCCATACTCTTGATCCTTGAAGAGAGGGGAGATCTCAAATAGAGGAGATAGAGGGGCCAGAGATCCTATTTAAATACTCTATTTTGAAGCAGTTTGCTGAGTATTTAATCTTGAAATTGGATTCTGTCTTATACAGCCATGCAAATGTCCAGTTTCAAAATATTCCATGATATAATAACAGTGCAGCCGTAACACTGACTTAGATAAAGGCTGCAACAACACTTATTAAAACGTTGAAGGTGGAAGAGAAAAGTTATAATTTCTTAACATCAGTGCTCTATTTTTTGGTAGGTTTTCTGCAGAATTGAGATAGTTATGTTCATATTGAAACTGCAAATGGACAATCTGACAGTGGAGCTCAGAACGTAAAGGTTTTTCCCAAATCTTTGGAGATGAAGGGTTTTGTACTTTGGAGCTGTAATTTTTAAGATAGATACAGAAGACAAATTGAATTCTGGGAAGATTTCTGCTTAGGCAGTCACTTTCTCTTAAACACCAGCAGCTTTGAAATGAATGTGGAGGTGTGTGTAATATAATGCATCACATACAGACTTTCTTTGGTGCATATGAAATGGTAATTTCAAGGTCTCTGTGGATGTTGGGGGCAGGGAAATTTACATTATTTTCTGCTCTCTCCTGAGTCTGAAAGTATCCTCTGATTCATAGTATTTTTCTTCGGAACCCTGTTTTGCAGAAAAAACCCCTGCATCTCTGAGGTCTAGAAAGAAAAATCGAGGAAGATATCATCCACAAATACTGCTATGTTTGATTAGCTGGTGATATAGTAAAGAGAAGTAATTTGAATGGTAGCAGTTTATGAATTTTAATGTGGTTTTTATTCACATATGCTGTTTTAGTGTATTTTTAGTTTTCCATATATAAAGTATGCAAAGGATTGATTAATCAGAAAAGTCATTCTTAAATGTAAATTCACAGAACAAAATCAAATTACAATGCAGCAAATATGGCTAAGAGAAATATTGTTTATTCACAGAGCTTGGATGTGGATATGAGAAAATACGCTTTGGTTTGAAGTAGGTGTAAGACAGAAAAACATTTCGAGTATGTGAGTACCATTTAACATACAATGCTCACTTAATACCAACATTCACTAAACTGTGATGCTCTTAGGGGGCACAGACATATGCTATTCCTGGCTATCTCTGCTTAGCAGCTGCAGGCAACCTCAAAAGGAATTTCAGTAATCCTTGTAACAAACCTATCTGAGCAGGGAATCTGCTGTTCTTTTCTCTCCAGCAGTAGGGTTATGGAGACCAGGGCCTGAGGAAGCTTAGCTCAGGCTGTGGTGTCATGAGCTTGATTGAGTCAATCTAACAACTCATTAGCACTGGAAAGGAGGGAGACTTCCTTTTTTACCCCTGCTCCCTGTCCCAGATAACATCATGCATGGCCTCTGCTACCCACTGGGAATCCAGCACACTGATCCGAAGACAGTCCCCCTCAACACCAATAATAAAAAAAATCCCAAACCAAAAATCCTCAATGTTTTCTGTTTAGAGTCTTGAGTAGTAGCTGGGAGCAGAAAAGACTTGAGTGGGCATAGTGGTTTTGGTATCTAAGACAAAGATGGCATTTGAAGGCAACTGGATTCCAGAGAGAACCATGCTGGATTCAGAGAGGCTGCAGAGGGATACTCTTGACTTCTTACTTATGAACAGTGTGCTGTGGAGTGATAAAAAGAGGGTTCTGTACACCACTGCCAGACATACGGGGCCTCCATAAGGAGTTGGAAAGGAAATCAGTCCTTGAAGCACATTGCCTGAGGGTTCTAGGGAAGGGAAGGGGAGATGTTCAGGAGAAGGCAGGAGGAACAGGCATGGGGACTGAAAGTAAGAGCAGAGCTGACAAGTCTTCTCTTATCCACTTACCACCCAACACTGGACTCTGAAGACAAGTGGAGAGTCAGTGATGGGGTCCCAGCTGCTGGAGAGTTCCTGTGCCAGTGTATCCAGAGCTTGTGGTTCGTTATCCAAAGTAAGCCAAGTCTGCTGCAATCTGTCAAAACCCTTTTCCCGCTAGAGGTAAAGTAGTAGGGAAGCTGCTTACACATGTATTTTATTCTGGTGGTTCCTCCAGCTGTCCATAGATTCAAGATCTTTGGATTCCAGTTGTCACTTGTGTGTTCTCCAGATGAATTCCCTATTAATTTTTAGTCTTTAGGGTGTTGTCCTTTATTTTCGCTTTTCATACTTTCCTGCTTTGCAGCTGGTCATCTTTTGAGAAGGTTCCAACAACAATTTTTGCAGCAATCATAAAACTTTCTGTCAACAGTACTTTATTCTTAAAGAAAAGAAACCTAAATGTCTCTGATGCCTTTCATATGATCACTGAAGAGGCAAAGTTTTGCAAGTGGCTTGTGTTCAAGCCTACTGTGAGTTAAACCCTAGCATTAACTTCCGTCTAC